AACAGTTTTGTTGATTAAAAAACACTATATCGGATTCATATCGGTATCGGCAGATATCCAAATTTATGATATCGGTATCGGTATCGGACATAAAAAAGTGGTATCGTGCCATCTCTAGTCCTAACGTAAACCTCTTAAATGGAAAATGGTTAACAGATTTTTGAGCACTGGGCTTTCTCTTTCCACAGGCAGTAAGGTCATTTCCAGGAAACTCTCACTGGAATCCCTGGCTGAGGTGGAGTCAGTCCTCCAACGCCCCCCACTTATCTGGGACAATCTGCACGCAAATGACTATGACTCCAGACGCCTGTTTTTGGGGCCCTTTAAGGGTCGAGAGCCTCAGCTTAAGAACCATCTCAGGGGCCTGCTGCTTAACCCCAACTGTGAGTTTGAAGCCAACTACATCCCGCTGCACACGCTGGGAAGCTGGCACAGAGCTGGGAAAGAGGATACGAAAGGTGAGGGATCCAACTGAGGGAAGGCAGATGGAGTGAGGGAGTATGATGAGACAGGAGATGTCCTGAGTTAATAAACTAATATTGTCTCTGCCAGACCACATCTATGTACAGTTAGTTCCATCGCTTCAGGAGAAATGTTTAATAAGCCCGTGTTGCTTGGCAACTAGCATCATTTTGACCACCAGACAGCCATTGTGTCTGATATTACCTACCAAATAAGCAAAGTTAAAGCTCCATCTGTTGTTCTAAAGTCACTTGTTAAGCTTTCAGCCTACACAGTTTCACCAGCCTCAATCTGCCTTTATTGTAAAAGCTGTTAAAACATTGTGACTTTAAGTCATTTCATTAGTCTTTCTCACACGGCGTATAATAAGTTATGTGTTCGAAGTGTAATGTAAGAATTCCTGTCACGCATCTGCAAAAGTGGGGTGCAGCATCACATGAATTTGACATGTTGTTCATATTCATTGCATCTCATTTACCATGAGAGTAAAATGCATTAGAGCACAGGCACACAGAGTTGAGTTTTTTTTGTCGCGGGGGGAGGGGCAGTGAATTGGATGGATAATTGTCGACACAGAGAAGCAGTGTAGCGTGTGATGTTCTGAAGACTGGGTGGGGGAGAGGTGATGATTGAGGAATAATTGCACGGTGTGATGGAGGAGGAAATGAGGAGAGAGCCCGGTCCCTCTGCGGAGGAAGAACTGAGCGGTAGGCTGTAGGACAAAAGAGGCTTTCAGAAGAGGAGATGAGAAAAATTTTAATTGTTACGGCAGGTTTTGTTGTGCAGACCTGTAATAATTTCCTTATAGTGTCGTATAAGCTAATAACCATTACAGAACGAGTATGCAAGGTGTGGCTGTTTTTGATTGTCAATGCATTGCTGTGTGTCCCCCAGATGAGGAGTGTGAGTACTGTCCTGATAGAGCTCTGTCTGCTGCACTGAAAGACTGGATGGAAGAACTCAACCAACCTTTACAAGCTGGTAAAATCTATCTATCTATCTATGTATAAACACTGATGAATTATTGCAGTTTATGTTCAGTGTAGTGTTGTTACTCAAACACACAACCTGTGCGTGTTTTTTATTTTCATGATAATTGTAGGCCGGCAGAACACAAGGACAGACCAGCGTGCCTCTGTCCCAACATCTCACTGTAAAACTCCTGACAGATCTGACTGTCCTTCCACCTTCAGAGGAACCTCTACTGTGGCCAAACTCCCAGTCTTCCCCCTGAATTCCAGCTCCCCTCCGTCCTCACCCACTAAAGTCAGTGGGGAGAGGGAAGGACGAGAGTGGGAAAAAAGGAAGTCATACCAGTCTTGCCAACCGATCCAGCAACCTCCAGGAACTAAGCCTGGAGCACCTGCGGCTGGAGGTCGGGGACAGAAAGCCCAGGTTCGTGGGCTCTGCGGTGGGAAAGGTCTGCTAAGTGAGTCGCAGGTGCGGCTGCTGGTTGGTCTTCATTATCTCCCTCACGAGCACGGCCCATCAGCCCAGAAGCTACTGCAGGATCTGACCTGGCTGAAAACAAACTGCCAGCTGGTCAGTACTAACAGCAAGAAGGCAGCACCTCAAAAGGTCGGTGAGGATTATGAGAGGAGTTTTTGTTGAGGTACTTGGATTGGTTGTGTACGTTACACGTGAGAAAAAACAACATAATATTGTTTTTTTTATTATGTCCTCAGGTTGATGAATGGCGTGGGCGGGCCTCCAGGTTTCTTTCTCTGTGTGAAGACATAGCGCAGCTCCACTGCAGTGTCGTGAGTGGGAACAACAGGGCTGTGCTCTATGACCTTTACCCTTATGTGTGGGACTTGAGGAACACAGCTCTGGTGGCAAAGGCATTTATATGCTGGCTTGGTAAGGACAGAAGCAATATACTGCTATACTATCAGTGTGACGCACTGGACTCTGCACTGGTTTGATCTTCCCTGCTGTACGAGAATGTGCCATGATAATGAGGCCATTTAAGTACATTGAACTCATATTATCACATTCAAGAAACACCAAAACGGTGCGTTGTCCTGCTGGAAGCAGCTGTCAGAAGACGTATCACTGTGGCCATAAATGGATGGACATGGTTAATAACAATACTCAGGCAGGCTGTGCCATTTAAATAAGAAAAACTTCCCCACACTCTTACACTAAGGCTACCAGATAATGCAGGATCCTTCCTTTCATTTTGTTTACACCAAATTCTGACTGTAACATTGGAATATTGTAGGAGAAATCAACTCATCAGACCAGGCAATAGCTTAACAATCTTTTATTTGTCCAAGTTTGAACTGTAGCTGTACTTTCCTGTTCTAAGCAGACAGGAGTGCTTCAAGGCATGGCACGTAAATCACTTAAAATCACTTCAACTTAAATTTGTGAGCTGATCAGGTATTTGTGTTAATGAACTGAGACAAGCTTAGCTGAAGGAAGTGGACAGGGAGTTATCTATATATAGACAGATAAATAGATACAGTGGGGCAAAAAAGTATTTAGTCAGCCACCGATTGTGCAAGTTCCCCCACTTAAAATGATGACAGAGGTCAGTAATTTGCACCAGAGGTACACTTCAACTGTGAGAGACAGAATGTGAAAAAAAATCCATGAATCCACATGGTAGGATTTGTAAAGAATTTATTCGTAAATCAGGGTGGAAAATAAGTATTTGGTCAATAACAAAAATACAACTCAATACTTTGTAACATAACCTTTGTTGGCAATAACAGAGGTCAAACGTTTACTATAGGTCTTTACCAGGTTTGCACACACAGTAGCTGGTATTTTGGCCCATTCCTCCATGCAGATCTTCTCGAGAGCAGTGATGTTTTGGGGCTGTCGCCGAGCAACACGGACTTTCAACTCCCGCCACAGATTTTCTATGGGGTTGAGGTCTGGAGACTGGCTAGGCCACTCCAGGACTTTCAAATGCTTCTTACGGAGCCACTCCTTTGTTGCCCGGGCGGTGTGTTTTGGATCATTGTCATGTTGGAAGACCCAGCCTCGTTTCATCTTCAAAGTTCTCACTGATGGAAGGAGGTTTTGGCTCAAAATCTCACGATACATGGCCCCATTCATTCTGTCCTTAACACGGATCAGTCGTCCTGTCCCCTTGGCAGAAAAACAGCCCCATAGCATGATGTTTCCACCCCCATGCTTCACAGTAGGTATGGTGTTCTTGGGATGCAACTCAGTATTCTTCTTCCTCCAAACACGACGAGTTGAGTTTATACCAAAAAGTTCTACTTTGGTTTCATCTGACCACATGACATTCTCCCAATCCTCTGCTGTATCATCCATGTGCTCTCTGGCAAACTTCAGACGGGCCTGGACATGCACTGGCTTCAGCAGCGGAACACGTCTGGCACTGCGGGATTTGATTCCCTGCCGTTGTAGTGTGTTACTGATGGTGACCTTTGTTACTTTGGTCCCAGCTCTCTGCAGGTCATTCACCAGGTCCCCCCGTGTGGTTCTGGGATCTTTGCTCACCGTTCTCATGATCATTTTGACCCCACGGGATGAGATCTTGCGTGGAGCCCCAGATCGAGGGAGATTATCAGTGGTCTTGTATGTCTTCCATTTTCTGATGATTGCTCCCACAGTTGATTTTTTCACACCAAGCTGCTTGCCTATTGTAGATTCACTCTTCCCAGTCTGGTGCAGGTCTACAATACTTTTCCTGGTGTCCTTCGAAAGCTCTTTGGTCTTGGCCATGGCGGAGTTTGGAGTCTGACTGTTTGAGGCTGTGGACAGGTGTCTTTTATACAGATGATGAGTTCAAACAGGTGCCATTCATACAGGTAACGAGTGGGGGACAGAAAAGCTTCTTACAGAAGACGTTACAGGTCTGTGAGAGCCAGAGATTTTCCTTGTTTGAGGTGACCAAATACTTATTTTCCACCCTAATTTACGAATAAATTCTTTACAAATCCTACCATGTGGATTCATGGATTTTTTTTTCACATTCTGTCTCTCACAGTTGAAGTGTACCTCTGGTGCAAATTACTGACCTCTGTCATCATTTTAAGTGGGGGAACTTGCACAATCGGTGGCTGACTAAATACTTTTTTGCCCCACTGTAACTATAGATAGATATACATGTAGAACGGCAGAATGTTCACTCCTGTTTCTTGCTTTAAGGTACCGGTATTAAAGGAGGAAGTTATTTGTCGCTCACATTCAAACAAGTTTCCACTGAAATTCTGTGCTGTTACAGCTATCCCACAGCAATTGTGCCACATGTGAGGTACAGTTGTTACACAATGTGTTTCACTTGAACTTGAGAAAGTACAGATGTGCCCACTTAACTGGTTGCAAAGTGCTTTGTCTGGATGTGATAATTAGGTTAAGTTAATTAAAGAATACTAGATAAATAAATATTACAGTGCTACCCTACAGTAGCAGAACAGAGCATAACAGCATAGTAGAAGTATACCACTTGGTCCTAGTATACTAGAAGCACGCTGCAGTATATAGTTTACCATGCTATTGAACTGATGTTATATTGAAAAACTGTGTAGTATTATAGTGCTATAGTGTAAGAGCTCAACATAATATTCTGCTGTAGAATACAATAATAGTATACTATAGTATTGTATAATATTGCATGTAACAGATTACTATTGTTTTGTGTATCCAATAATAATTTATCTACTGTCCGGTTGTATGATTACTATTTTAGTCGTATGCCCTATAGTCTCTGCTCTATTATTTATAGCATTATATAATGTAGCACATACTATATACTGTACTGTATTCAGTACTTATGTTAAGAGAGGACACTGGTGGAATCAGCGGTTTTGTAGATTATTGCCAGTCATTGTCTGTGGCTCATTTTTCTCTTACGCTCTAACGTGCCCATTTACTCACTCAGATGGACGAGTGTTGAGTGACAGCTCTGCCCTCGGCTCCTGGAGGAACTGCTTCCAATGTGAGTAAGCCTGATCTCTGATGGTCTTTAAACTTTTTGTATCTGCGCCTGAAATAAATTACTACAAAACTCAGTCATTACTTCTCAGCTCGAGCTCAGTGGAGCCCAGCTGATAGGGAGGACTGAATTTTTTATGACAAGTTTATTTCAGCGAGCGTCTCTTGTGGTGCTGTAATGCTGTAAAGCTCTACAGTTTTTTGCTCGACATAAAATTTTCAAGCTGCGCGATCATTCTCCATGTGCACTGGTAACTTTTCTGGTATTTCACTGGCCCTGAACATGTGATGTAGCCTGTCACATATGATTGTTTTTTTCTGTGTTAGGGTGTGGGAAGACCACGGGAGCGGACCAATTGGGAGTAGAGTCTGAGCCATGGGCGTTCAAAGGGGGCGTGTCAGGGGAGGTGCAGGTAGTGTGTTATATTTCAGATGCTATTCGTGATGTATCTCTTCTTAAATTCTTGACAATATTTTACTCTGCTCTATCAAGTCAAGCCCCCTAAAACTGCCTAATGTGTGTGCATGTTTTTTTCCCCATGTTGTGTGCAGATGCTTCTCCCAGTAGGGAGCAGCAGTGAACTTTTTACTCATCCTCCTCCTCTCTTCCCTACCACTCGCCTCTACAACATCAGGCCCTACCACAGCAAAGACAAGGTAGTCTCACCCACACACAGAAACTCTTGACATAGCACAACTGGCAAAGAGGTTAAACAAAAGGGGAATTGGAAAGTCATGTGTTAGCTTTTACAGTTGCATTAAACAATCAGGGAGCAAACCAGTAGATCATGTAGGTGCAACATTTATGGAACTTTCAGGTGGAAATTTAAATTGTTAAAAGTCGTAGATTTTTAGTTCAACATTTAAACATTGGTGTGGGAAGACACATGGTTTAATGGTTGTGTACTTAGGTGGAGCTGTATCGAATGGTCCGCCAACTTCACCTGAGGACACAGGGTGGGCCAGAGTCTAGTGCTGCTCATCCAGATGTCATAGGAGACAGGTGTGTCTGCGTGTGAGAGAGAAAAGAAACTCAATCAGGAAGTGTGCAACGATTTGTCAAATACTGTATCAAATCAATAACACTTGATTTCACTCTCTTAGATGTCTTGGACCATGCCTAGCTTTGTGCCCCGAGTACAGCTTCATCTTGGAGGATGAGCTGGGCGTTTGCGGCTGTGTGTTAGGCATCTTGGATGTTCGCTCCTTTGCCAAGCGGTGCCAGGCCAGCTGGATACCCGCCATGAGGGACAAATACCCACCAAAAATGAACGGCACACATCCAAACACCCAGGTGAATACGTGGGTTTTACCCTCTCACAAGAAGTCAGTTAAATCTCTCTTTTTAGTTGACACCCTATGCTGAAACATAAATGCTCACAGAGTACACAAAGCTATAAACATACCCGACAGACCAGTTTTACATTACGCACATTAACTTAAGACTTATGAGTACCTGCTGTCACACCATCTGGGTTCCTCTGTGCAGGATAATAAGTCGCTGGGAGTTAGGTGGAACACACACACACACAGACCGGATTTCCATCCATTCGCTTCCGCTTATCCTTTTCAGGGTCGCGGGGGGCGCTGCAGCCTATCCCAGCTGTCATAGGGCGAAAGGCGGGGTACACCCTGGACAGGTCGCCAGTCTGTCGCAGGGCTAACACACAGGGACAGACAACCATTCACACCTAGTGACAATTTGGATTAATCAATTAACCTATCCCCACAAGCTGCATGTCTTTGGACGGTGGGAGGAAGCCGGAGTACCCGGAGAGAACCCACGCAAACACGGGGAGAACATGCAAACTCCACACAGAAAGACCCCGGCCTGATGGTGGAATTGAACTCAGGACCTTCTTGCTGTGCGGCAACAGTGCTAACCACCGTGCCACCGTGCTGTCCACAGACCGGATTTAATGATTTAATTTAGTATGTGTCTAAGGGCCACCTGCAGTATTCCTTCTGTCTTTAGTGGGCCTGTTTTCTGTATCAGCGGGTTAGTGTGTAAACTTGCGAACGGTGCATTCAGATTTACCAGCTGTCATGTGAATGTGACTAATTGTTAATAAAAAGAGAAATGCAGAAATATGGCAAATATGGGGAAGGTAAGGATTTAAGTGCTTTAAAATACAGAATGGTTATTGAGAACTCAAGTACAGTAGTGCACACGGCTGATGTTGTTTTTGCCCATCATCACTATTCAGTGATCTCTGGCAAAGAGCCAAGCATAAATGGTGGTGAGCAGCAGACAGAGTCAAACTCTGACATGTGTGGAGGATTCATTTAGCCGCTCTGTGCGTCACAGAGCAAACTGAGAGCTATGCTGTGGATCATTCACACGTCAGCAGGCAGCCACAGGTGCAGAAAAATTTAAAGTTTCCCAGCTGAAAGCTTTCGTCACATGTAAACTGGCTAGGGAACAAGAATGTTCGATCTAGGAATCCATCGGTTAGTCCGCTCAATTGGGAGGGCTGGCACCTTAAGAGGCTTCCAGTGTAGCCAGTAGATATCCACGCCAGCGCCTCCAGTTCCATCTACTGGTCAGTGTTTACAAATGCAGCAAAATGAAAACAAAGAAAAAACGATTGTCAAAATCTTGGATTAAGCTTGCATTTTTCTCTCCACAGGGACTGTTTACTAACATTCAGCCATAGTATGCTCAAATTTGATTGGTCAGGAATACAAGTGGGTTACAAATGGGTTAAAGAATCTACCAAAAATGGCCTCCCTCATCGACCGATGCTACATATTCACAAGCATTTATCTGTTTATAGAGAACATTTAATTATTTTCCCCCTGTTTTGTGTCACATAGTTACATATTACTGGTATGTTATACAAATAGCTGCTTATTACATTACCTCACTTGAAATCTAGTTGCTGTTAGCTAACTCAGTTCCAAGAAAAATGCTTATCAGCTTCTGAGACAGGAAGTACATTAGACTCATCCCAGAAGTCTTTGCATATAAATATAAAAGCTGCTGATCAAGGAGTGTCTGCTGGGGTCACCAGGCAGTACTTGTACACTTAAAATGTAGCGTCAGCAAATCTTAATTTGTAATGATAATTAGTGTTTTACTGTGTGTTTGTATTCATTGTAAGGTTTTAAGGTTGCTGGGTAACTGGAAACGAGTCTGGTACCAAACGTGCCTAATTGGTAACATCTAGTGGCAGGTGGAGGAAGAACAATCCTCTGCAATGAAGATGTGAAAGTGCATCTGTGTCTCTGCTCTCCTTTGTGCAGGACCTGATACAGCTGATGGAGGAGGATCAGGGCGAGTACCCAGACTCGCTGCTCTACCACTTTCCCTCGCAGTTGCGACTGGACGCCCTGCCCGAGCTGGTGGACATCAGCATCAGCCGCACCCTGCTCACCGCCCTCCTCACTGCGCTAAAGGCCAATGGTAAGCTCCACGTGTGTGTTTGCGAGTGTGTCTTTTGTTAAATAAAATTCTGCTGCATATATTAGCATGAATCCGTATGCGCTTATACCCTCAAGGATAAGTAAAAGGATTAGAGAATGAGAAAAGAGCAGAAAAGACATGTGGAGGGTGGAAGAATACTCCAATAATGCAAGAAGGGTTTAAGGGAAAAGCTACCTGTAGTTGTTTTCACACCATTAAATATGAGTTATTAGTTGTAATTGCTGATTATGTTGCTTCTTTAGACTGTGTAAAGGGATTTTGTTATGTAAGTCTGTTATTTATATGTTGCTTGTATATTTGTATGATTTATTCTTGGAGAAAAACTGATCTGTCAATGACTGCCTCTTTGCTTTGCCATTTTTGCACGGTGTGTGTGTGTCTAGGTTCTCAGGGTGTGTTCTGTGAGGTGCAGCCAACAGACCGTCAGAGGCTGGAGTTCTTGACTAAACTGGGCTTCCTGGAGATCCTCAGGGGAGAAGCCAGAAGCAGGGAGGGGGTGGTGCTGGGACGGCTGCTGTGAACATAGAACACACAAAACACTCACATGATCTCACACACACAGGCACACAAACACACACACACCACGACAAACAACAAAGACATTTGCACTGATGTGGTAGATACACAAAGGCACTTATGCACAGAGAGGTGTTAGAAATGCAGTGTGCACGGCACAGACATAAACAACTGTGCTTTGCCAAGAAGTGAGGTCCATATTTTTCTCCATCAAGAGAAGAAACCTTATTTTGAGTGACAATTCTGGATTCCTTTGAGTCTGTGTGGCAGTAATGGGGATCAACCCAGAGCTTTTGGAGGGATTTACAAAATATAAAATAAGCTTAGAGTTTAAATCTTTAGCAGGGCTGTGCTAATCTGTCTCAGATTCCATCCACGACTGAGGATTAGAAGATTTCTCAAAGAAAGTGAGCAACAGAAGAGTTTGAGATTGTAGCGGAGTGCTTGATCCAAGCAGCTCTGTGGGCCGTAGGTCTTTTCATCATACATGTATGCATCTTTTTTTAAAGCTGGAATAATCAGTGTTATTGAGTTTTTTAGTACTTTTTCTTATTTGCTTATTTTTGCGGAGTTTTAAGCTGACAACACTACTAGTTTCATTTATTTGCACCGCTTTCATCAGGTTAATTTTCTGAAATTGCAGCCATGCATTGTTGACAAAAAAAGAAACCTCTTTGTACTCTACCTGCTCTCTGTCCAAAGACTAATGCATCCAATTATTTCTTAAATATAGCCATAGTAATGTTTTGGGAGTCTTGGGCTTAGGAGTGCTGATTTCATTGCCAGACTCTTCTACACATGTAATTAGCTACAGAGGATCCTATTTAAGCTTCTATAGCTTGCCCAGAGTTGCTGTGCATACAAAACACTTTGCACACTACCTCCACCCTAGCTCCTCCTTTCAGCTTGTGTCTGGCATAATTAGTACCATATCTGTGGTCTTGGTGATGCTTTTCCTGCCTTAAATTTTCCATGCGTACACCCGAAAAAGGCAAGAAAGTCCCAGAAACAAGCCATGCTGCCCAACAGAAGTTACTGCAGATGGAAATAACTGTGTTCTTTTGTATAAAGTGGTCCCGACTGAGGTGATATTTAATGTAATGACCGAGCTTGGTGCTGGTAGGCAGATGTTGTCAGCTTTGGACTGAGGTAGACGTGCCTGTCTCCCTGCTTCCAGCGTGCTAAACTAGCCGTAGCTTCATATTAACCACTCACGGAGCGTGTTGTCAATCTTCAAACTACTTCTAAGTCAAGATGAAATAATCCTTTACAAAACCTGCCCAGGGAAAAGCTTCTGTGGCTAACCTAGCGTCCTCCTCTCTTCGCTTTGTTTATAAATGGTCGTTTTCTTTTTCCTGTTTAAATTTAGGATGTTTTCCAGTGCCTGTCCTGCTGGTTCAAAAAGTATGCTAACATCAAATCAGAACTAGGCTGGCATCACTGTTTACACTCGCTTAGATTAGATGAATGTTTACGTGCATGAAGAACAAAAAACTGTGTGGCTGTTCAGAGAATAGGGACACAAACAAATACCATTGTACTGGCATGCTTGAACATACATGATTTTTTGTGGACAGCCATTGTAGCTGTTATGACGTAGGAACAAAACAAGAAAATGCAAACGCATGCGTGCTAAAATTCATTAGAAACACAGTAACACACACTCAGACACATACACAATCTAAAGTTTACACATATTTGAGTTAGATATAACTGATACCGCTCCCTCATTTGACAAAATTTATACAGCTGTCAGATCTTACAGACATTGTCAGTGCGTAAAAACTGCTACACACTGGCCTAGGTGGTGGTACGCGTGTGTATTTTGTATGAGATGTATGCATGTGTGAGTGAGTGCCAAAAAAATACAAACCAAGACAACTTTGTGGTTCTGCCTCTATTCTAAACAGCAGTGAACACAGGTCTGTCTCATCATTACATAGATGTTGTTTCTACAACTTTCTATGACTATTAGTAAAATACAATTATTGCTTTTCCCGGACTGTTACTGCAACTGGCCAATCATGTTGTTGTGATGTCATAGCTTAAAGATTTATGAAAAAGCAGTTAGGAAGTCAGACAAAAGCGCAGAGAGCCAGAAAAAGGAGAAAGATAAAGGGCACGTTATGGTGCTTCACTGTGTTAACCACAGGACTTTCACCCAGGACTCTGGGGTTTATGTTGCACATGAAACCAAAAGCCATTGATAAATCATCATCGTTTGACTAAGCGGCCCACCCTCTTCATTTTTTAAAGTTAAGTTAGAATTATGCAATTAAACAGTTTGAGAAAATGTTGGAGTTATCAAAACATTAACCAGATGTTGGAAAGCCTTTCAAGAAGCCCTGAAGGTGTCACTTCATGACACCACAAGATTGTGATTGGTCAGCAGTGGTGGGCCTGAAGCATCGTCATGTTTAATGTTCCAAGTACAGTTGGTGATTTCCAGCTGTGCGATTAACACACACCCACACACACTTGCGCCCGTGTGCACATACAAACACAAACACACACACTCATTCTAAAAAAGCACAATGACACTCACAATCAAATCTTCAACTTAAAGTATGTAGAACTATGAATGTTCTTTTTTTGTAATGCAGCTTAAGAAGACGCAACTACTGTTTGTGCAGGTATTTATATTTCTACTTTTTTTAACTATTATGCTCGATCAATCACAGACTGAAAGGCACTTTTGTAAGTTTCTTCTTCTTACCAGCTTCATCAGCATTGTCTGTTAAGTACTTCATGTAGTCCCAGATCTGATAATTGTGTAGAAGAGTAAAAAAAAAGGCAGCAAAATATGCATGATGTAGAGGAAATCTTTAGAGAAGATGTCACATTGTTTGTTGCAGAACGCTGTTGTTTCACCTTTATGGAAATTCAGTGTTATTATTATTTTTTTCTAATATACTGTAAAAGTGCGTGTGTGAATGTAGGCGTGCGTGTTTGGGGTGATGATGGGAAATATATGTACGTGAACAATCTACACAGGCAACATGGAGCACTGTGAAAAAAGAAAGCGTAGTGAACCACAATGTTTTTGATTTGGGAGAATTTTTAACAAGTGTCATAAGAATAATAGTAATAATAATAATGATAAAAGTAATAATAAAAAAAGCAGCCGCCAAAAAACTAAAGGCCTACGCAGCTGACCACAGTTAAATTCAGCGTCTCATTATCCAGTTTCCTGCCTGCATTGAGCAACATGTATGGTCTGTGTTTACAGTGAGTTCCAGTGGAGTGCTGTTGTATGTCTATGCAGGGTAATGAACGAGTTGGAAAAAAAAAAACCTACCAAAAAAACAAAAAACAAACTAGAATTCAGTCTGTGTTTTTATTGACAATAACAGTAAAACTGTCATTTAAAAAAAAAAAAAACAACAACCATGATTTTATTGAATTGTTGATTTTCATGCTTATTAAAAGAGGTTTTCTTTCCCTTTAAAGTGCCTGTTTCTGTCGGCTTTGTGTGTCATTTGAGGAAAATAATACAGGGGGCTAATCAGAGTGGAATATTTGACATATTTAATAGAAATGGTCAGGTTTGAACACATACATTTATGTAAAGACAACTGATCAATTCACTACTGTGCCTTAATTGCCACACTGTGGGCAAAATATAGAATGAACTCCTCCTTAAAGTGTTCAGTAAAGTGTTCACCATCTTTAACAAGCCTATGCTGACATGAGAATGTTTACCTAAAACTTTTATGGTCTACTCCATCCAGCTAACAACATGACAGTCCAGATACAGTGCTGCGTACACAGGTGCATGTCTATCCTCACGCTACACATCTGCGCTCTCCCTTTCTTCGGTGTTTCCAGCTTCCCATTGGCTTCGCAACTGCAGGTTGCGTTCAGGAGCTCTCACTTGACCAGTCGGGATGCGGTACGCTGCTAAACTGCCGGTCAACAGCAACATCAGTGTGGCCACCAGAGTAGCTGCCCAGCTGCATGCTGGCAGACCAACCTTGGCAGAAAAAAAGAGAGAGGATCTTTAATGATGAATACGACTGAAGTGAGACAAAATTTCATGTCCACTGCTTTTGGAAATTCTCCTTCTATATATATGCAAGCTTTTAGGACACTGAATCCATAATTTTTTTTAGATTGTAACTACTTATTTGAAAGTTATAGTTATTTTAGTTACATTTGGTGGCTCCTGTAAACACATCTAAGGCTAAAGAAAGTGATTTAAATTTCACAATGTAGTTCCAATCAATTTGAAAGCGATATCCTACTTTGGAAGAATTGGAAGTTCTACAGAACACATAAGAAGCCAAGCTTGCAAGCTTGGGATCAAAAATGTGAAAAGGGTTGTGAAAGGCCTCTGTGTGTACTCACAGTTCCCATCAAATTGCTCAAAGCAATGTCAGCATATGCAGAGAAGAAGGCTGCGGACGGGAGAAAAACAAAAGATTAGGTTAAATATATCCTCCATATATTCACTCCCTATCACTCTCCAGGTTTCTGTCTCACATACTGCTCTGTGGTATTTATTTAGTCGCACTTTCTCCTGACAGTAGACACAGTACCAGCTCCACGTAAGGCCAATTTACCTAATGTGAGCAGATTAGGTCCCTTTTCAGAGGGGTCAGTACCGCTTTTTGCCTGAGCTGCAATTTTATTCTGTATTTATGTGTTAAAGGTTTGAAAAGGAAACACATTCTGAATAGAAAGATAATCTGTCTATTCAGAATGCCTTTCCAGCTTATAACTGACACAATTAGAAATAATTGTTCAGTGTAATTACAGCTATTCAGCATGAAGGAGAGGAAAAAAGGAGAGGAGCAGTAATAAGTAGAGGGATAATGTAGAAAAGGGGGAAATAAACTGAATTAATGACAGGAAAGTGGAAGTAGTGTATGTACATAAATGGAGTGACTGCGGGTTAAATAAGCTGTTTATTTCATATGTATGTGGTCATTAATGGAGACATGCCGTATTCTTCTTAAGGAGGGATGATTCAACATCAGAATGATCAACAAAAGAATTCATTTAGTGATGATTCACTGAGAAGAGCTGTGATGGTGTAAGTGACATTTTGATGAGTCAAAGGATATCAGCACATTGAGCAAATTACATAAATGCACAAAAAAGAGGCCTTTCATTCAAACGGGTGACTATCTCAGAGACCCATGTAAATGGGTCTTGTTTGTTTGACCTCAATTTCCTCTCAAAGTAAGTTGGTTGCTGTGAGTATTACTTATTACTATCAGGTTTTTGACACATAAAAACTTTTTACCCACATTCTCGAGATGAATAAAAAAATAAAAACATTTGACTGCTTTAACCCAGGGGTAGGCAACTCCAGGCCTCAAGGGCCGGTGTCCTGCAGGTTGTAGATCTCACCCTGGGTCAACACACCTGAATCAAATGATTATTTCATTACCAGGCCTCTGGAGAACTTCAAGACATGTTGAGGAGGTCATTTAGCCATTTAAATCAGCTGTCTTGGGTCAAAGATACATCTAAAACCTGCAGGACACCGGCCCTTGAGGCCTGGAGTTGCCCACCCCTGTTTTAAAGGGTTAAAGCTAAGTGACAGCCCGCTTTAATGCTTCAGCACCATGGACAGAGGCAACGGGAAGCTTACATTTGGACCAGTAATAATACTTTTGTTGCCCTCCAGTGGCATATTTAAGTACTGAGACTGACAATTACACAAGCAAAAATATTGTTTTGCTGTTTTATTAATTCTGTAAGACAAATACAAGGAAGGTCACGTCATTTCAAGCACATATTATTTTAAAAATGGGAAACAATATGGTTGTATTGCTGTTGAAAGCCATTTTAAGCTGTTCTCTTATTTAAAAGGCGTCACCACAGCAGGTAACTCCACATATTCCATTTGTCAAATTTCTTGCACCACATTCCTGATACCCAAGTTTGGTAGGGTGCTTTTTCTATTGTGCATATTAGAGTATACACAATGGCTAGAGAAGAGCATCCCCCAGAATAAATTTGTACTTAAATGCCATCTTACATCATTTGTTATGTAACTACAGCGTCATTTAACTGCCATTAGATACTTGAGACAACAGATAATAACTGTGCCTGTGTGTGTCTGTGTGTCTGTGTTACCACTGGCGATAGCAAAGAGGTGCGTCCACAAGCTGAGGATGAAGAATCCTCCAACAGCCATGCAGCCCAGAGCTCCATTAAACCCTGACAGACCTGAGTACAGAGATTCATGACGCACTGCCATGGACAAACCTGCCACACACATACACACAATAAGAGCCAATGAATGAGTCACACTTGTTCACAGATATGGTAATAACACAAGTGGAAATACACAAATAACAATTAATTACTGTATCCCATCACTGACAAGCTGAAGTACTAAATAACTGTCCATGTGGTGGTGCTACATGCACACTATTGTGTGGCTGCTCTCAGTGCAACGTGTAATTTGCGTGTAACCTAATAAGGACATTTTAATGTTTCCTGGCTGCTACTTCAAATCAACACACAGGAAGAGACAAAAACTGGTCCAGAGTAGAATAGAATAGAATCGGCCTTTATTGTCATTGTACATGTATAATGAAATTGTGGGTGCTCCACAGCAATAAAATATAAATGGTGGATAGCAAGAATAAATAGCAAACAGGAGAATATATATACAATCAAGATACAAAAATACGAGAAAAGCACAGATTAGAGAACAAATGTCACTAAATATCAACATTTCACTGAAGCTCGCAGAAGAGCAGTTAGTATTTTAAAGTCTTGTGTAACTGGGTTTACAGAATATGATGCATCACTAAGGTAACCGCTGCCAGTTTGCCTGCTTTGTCTATTGTATTCCAGAATATTGCAGGTTGAATTGAGCCACTGTATGTCGAATGGGGCCACACCAAAGGGAATCTGCCTGTTACATTTTCTTAACACTTAACATATCAGTGACATGCAGTTTTAGATTTGAAACAGAGAATAACATTCAAATCTTCATCACAAGAGATTAATTCATTCTGAGTTTGATGTCAAAGAGGCAGGTGGATTAAGACAAGGTCAATGCCTTGCCTCGGACTCACGTGCACACGAGATATCCACAACAGTGTGACGCTGAAACTAAAAGCAAACTGCACAGGGGGCATGCTGACCCAGATAAATCTCTGCAGGGCCAAAAGCACTGACATTTTTTCTCCCTGGCCTCCGGCACCAGCTGCACAATGTCTCCTAACCTTCTAGAGGGAGAATAACAATTTCAATACAATGAAGTAAGAACATGTAGAGCCACTGAGTTCGTCTGCAAAGGCCAACAAGTTTTTTTTTCCAGAATCAGTGAGCATGACAGTTAACATTTCTCTGAAATATTTAACCTTTGTTGAAATGTAAAAAAAAAGAAAAAAGTATTGCAACACAGTGTTGTGGCGCACAATCCACTGACTGGTTGAGGCTTTTCTATGTGGAGTTTGATTGTTTCCTCTCTGTCTATGTGGGTTCTCTTCGTGTACCCCGGAATATGAGTGTGAATAGTTGTCCTTTTGTGTTAGTTCTGCAATAGCTTGGTCACCTGTACACAGTGTACCCCACCTCTCGACCCAGAATAACCTCAGCCCACCTGCAACCCTGAATCAGATAAGAGGAAGGCAACAGATGGAGCTGGATGGATGCATCTTCAACCTTACATTTGGAGCAGATCTGACCTTTTGGAAAAGTTTTTGTGTTAGATTGTTTCCTGATTGATTATTTAAACTTTGCTCCATTGTCATACACCTCCCTCATGTAGGTAAACACCTTTTAATGTAATGCATCCCAATCCATCAGCAGAATGCCAGCAATTGCTAATTAGTATGTCAGGAGATAATCTAATTACAGTATTGGACATATTCAAATGTTGACCTGTTGTAGATTGCAGATTAATAGTCCTGTAGTAGGAGTGATGGATTTTTAACTGTCTGGATATGTCGAATATTATAAAATAAATAACTGAACACGGTCTGGTTGTGAGGAGTGACCCTTTAATCCTCCATTTGCTCTTCTTATAAATCATTTACACACATGTGCACTAAGTTGGATGAGCTCCACTTTGCGAAGTACATTTTTATTTTTTGTCTTCCAGCCATTTTCATTTTAATGCCTGAAAATGAAAGATAATACACAGTGTAAATGCA